GGAAATAAAAATTAACGGACATGGCCATTGCATTTGATGCCCTGCGTTGTTGGGAGAATTGAGATGGCACTAAATAGAGCACGCCCAAGGGAAACAGCTACAACTATCAATGCTGAATTGAAGAGAAGAAGAGTGACCCATGCAACAAGTAGAAGGAGGATTATCCGGAGCACAAAGTTGTACCTGCTAAAAATTACGTTCATGTCAGGGCAAGGCCTAATTGAAAACTTGATGCATCTTGTCAACTCGATATACCAAGCAAAAATTCCAGATGAATTACTTCAAGCATGCACAAATTCTCAGCATCAAAAACATAAGCTTACTAGCTTATTCCTTAAGTAAGAACTTACTCTGAATCAGACTGTTCTTCATCATCTTCATATTCCTCACCCGTGTTGACATTCCCAGCTGCTGGAAGCTCAGCCATGACTCTGTCAGGTCCACCGACCTGCAAAACTTGTGCTCTGTTCTGCCTTCCTGGTTCACCATTTCTGTTCTCCTGCCCAATGTTTTCCTCTGGTCTTGGCAAGAGGAAGTCTGTCAAACCAAGCGCCCAACCGACGTCGGTGCACCAGGAGCGCACAAGGGACTTAATTGTGGTATGGAGTCTGCAATGCTCGATAATAAATGGTACGCATATTTGAAACAAAATAATGCCGACTGGAATCTCAGTGAACGGGTCAGATACACTGCATAGATGCACAAGTTAGGAAGGATCTAATCAAGAACAAAATCTCCAAAAACAAGAGGTTAGCCCATATTTCTTACGATATGTCGAGCGGGAAGATTGAAGGGGCCGTCCATATCGCAAGTTTGACTGGTAAGAATACCAGCATGACAATCAAACTCCCAAACTCTGCATATTCTAACAAAATCTCCTTAGCAAGCTTAACTACTGAACCATCAATCAAATCTTGGAATGTGTTATCCTGATCTGCAGGATCCATAAGGAAATACAAAACTCCAGGGCGAAGAACCTGCAATACGCACAAAAGTGGAAAATTATATTAGACAGTAGCAGAGAGAAAGCTGTTTCTAAAAAAGAATTATGACCAAAGAACACGGTACCTCTCGAAGAAGGTTCTCGACTATGAATATTTGCCACATGTACATGATTCCAACAGTCCAATGAACAAGTGAGCTTGCCAGTGGAGAAACTGATAAAAACTGTACTCTGTGGGACATTGTTTTACCAAACATCCTAACCGTGCAAACATCGAGCCACCACCCACCCATCAGGGGGAAGATCCCAAGCACGAAGACCACAAAAAAGGCAACTCTGAATCCAATCCCCATTACTGCTAAGAACTGCCTAAGGAGAGGTGGTACAGTTTCTACTACAGAAGTGACACCATAAAATCTCCCAATGGTCAATGGCTCACCCTTGGCATATAGAATCAGCGAAATGATCCCAAGGTAAATGAACACCAGAAAGACTATAAACATGTACCCAACAGTCAGAGTTGTAACATCGGATAGCTTTGATGATCCAGCAACAGAACCTTTCAAGAGATCAGCAGCAATAGATAGAGTAATGGTTGCTCCATTCATTCCACTCCCAGTGACTTTCATAATTTCTGTGAGCTGACCAAGTAGCCCATTTTCTTGGCCCTCGTTAGCCAAATTTGAGACAGAAGTCAACGCACTCTTCAGAGATAGATTTCCCAATGATAGTCCAATATCTATCACTGATGCTGTCACGGCAGGGCCTCTAGCAGCAACAAAAAGCCACGACACATGATACGATAAAACCCGTCCTAATGTGAAGGGCACAAAGATACCAACACCAATGAATATCATATTGCATGCTAGAACCTGAAAAAAAACATGCACATCATGAAAATTTGAACTAGAGACCGAAACAAGGGAATTAAAACGAGAGAATCAGAAAGAGGAGAAACATTCAACTTACAGTAGAGGCATTCTCAAATAAATGGAACACCGGACCCTTCATTCCAACCAGCTCGTAAAAAGGAATGTTTTCTCGCAAATGCCTAAAATGACCCCTCAATGAAGTCGCTCCACGGAAAATGAAGAAAATACAGGTCGATAGTAAGAAACCAAGCAAACAATCGGTGAGAATGACTGTGGTGGAGATGTGGCTTAAAAAGAACAAACTCTGAGCTTCACCAAAACTCCGCACAAAAGCCAATCGCCATATCCAACATGTAATGAAAGGAATAGTGAGAAGACAGAGAGAAAGCACAGAAATCAACCGCAGAAAGAACTGCAAAACACGGCAACGGCAAGATTTCATCGCAATGCCAAGTACAAACTCATGGAAAGGGAGGCCTTGTGGGGAGCCTTTTCATCATACACTGGTGAGAATGAAAAACGATGCTTGCAAAGCTGCAGAGATGAAATGCATACAATCAACTAGAAGAATCATAAAAAAAAAAAAAGCAATGGAAGAAAACTTGAACCATAAAAATTCCGTTCCGAGTCAAAATTTCTTAATAATGATCCGAAATCAACACAATCGAACCCTAAGAATCTAAAATATACGAACTTAATCATGAGGAAAAGAAGCAAAACCTCGCATCTACTAGCTTTTCTCTGATTAAGCCATCGAAGGAGACAATCCTGGTGAACAAATTTGATGCTCCCGCTGCATTTGCACGGATATCGAAGCGGATTGTCCGCAACCCCTGGATTTCTGCAGATCCTGCAAACGTCCCCCTCGTCTTCTTCATCATCAATGTAACTCTTCGCACTCGCAATTGCAGGATCCATGGTGGAGATTGCAGTGGGATAGGCCTGGACCTCATTCACACTGAGGAGAAAAAAAGGGGGTTTAAGGTTTATTATTATTATTGTAGAGACAAAAAAAAAAAAAAATGATACATATTACGACGCATGAGCAAACTGTTTTTTCTTTATCAAATACTCATCCTTTTATGTCTTTTTTTTCACTACTCTATCTCTTAATCTCCTTTTATCAACTTTGAAATACCTCTAAAATTTGAGGAAAATGAATCTACTGGAAGTAACACTAATGAGTAATGATGCAAGTAATTTCTTCAAGAAAAAAGATAATAATCGTCTTGATTACTACTATTACAAAAGTTATTAGATCATGCATGATGGCGCATATACAAAAATTGCATTTTAATAATTTAAATGCACGTTTTCATTTCTCTAAACAAAGCGTTATTCCTAAGAAAATCTTGTAGTTCATCCCAAAATTAAAAGGAAAACGAAAAACCAAATAAATCTTCAAAGCCATCCCTTCAGGCGTACATCATGCACTAAGAGAAGAGTTTGACTCAATACAATACAAAAACATTACAATACAAATATATGGACAAACGAAGCGTCATTGACTTATTTCTAAAGATCTTTTCGTTTAAATAAGGCACAAAACAAAATAAAAGAGGATCAACGGATATAATTACATATGGACTAATAAAAAAATCTTTCAAAGCCAATACCTTACAGCTTAGGTACACAAATGTTAAACAACTCTGGTGAACTGTTTCGAATTTGATTCATCACCTGGCAAAACACTAATATTCTTTCTAAGCTTCTTGTTGGATTGCACGTCTGAGCCTAAGTCCAGTATCAGCATCTCCCTCACGTCCTATCAAGACCCCACCATCTCCTGCATCCTCACTGCTCTGGTTTTGGTTCTGGTTAGCCATAGCAGCTTCCCCAAAGTTGTGTAGTCTCCGACCAATGAGATAACGGTCATCACGGATAGAGTTGTGAAGGTTTCTGAACCATACATGGCATCTTTTTGCACAGAAGCAGAAGAGGCTCACCGAGAGACAACCAATCCAAGCAAATCTGTAGACCGCAGAGTTCACAACTAGCGGATATCCAAGCATCGGGAACACTCCTCTCGCCAGGACATATGGCACGCATAATGCTGTTAGAAGTTTCATCACGATCGGGAATACGATCTCTCTAAGTACCCATAACCCTTGAAGCCTTGAGAAACCATCTTCTCTTACCCTCTCAAACTTTGCTCTCCAGCTATCATCCATTATCGGAAGCATATGATCCAGCATAACCTGTCCATTGTCGTCGTTATTTTAGCGACACCATATACCTCTTATGCGGCAAAAATTGCCAACGGGTGATAAACTACTTACCAGTCTAGTCCAGATCTTCAAAAAGATGAGCCCAAGAGCCCAGTCTTGATACAGGAGGAAGACAGGGCTTTCATCTACTGGGACTCTCATTGGAACAATCACCAAAAGCTCAAACAGAAGTCCGATAAGTACCGGAATGATAAAAACCTGTTCAGTCGGCATTTTAAAAACATAGACTCCAGTGTCAAAAGAGTTTAAGAGTATCTCAAAAATCTAAAAAAAAAACAACATCACAAACCACTGACCCATATGGCTAGCAGCACCGAGCTCTTGAAGACAATCCCACACCATTTCCATATTTGGGTAAGCAAGACTGACGTCCTCTTCGACTTGACATGCTCA